GTTCAGGTTCATTATTTCCAGCTAAGTTAATCAACCCCAAGAGGAGGGGAGGAGAGAAACAATTTCCAAACACATAAAAATTCATTATCCATTTCTATTTTACTTAATGACGCTGTGAGATGAGGCTCTTCCTGGAAATCAGTGTTTGAATGAGCAGCACAGGGAAGTACCTGAGGGTTGGAGGCTTGATCAGTCTGTTCTGTGCAGGGACTTTTGTTCCAGCCTTGCCAGGGATGTTGGAGTGTTCCACTACCCTTCATCACAGCCCAGAGGGAAGAGTATGCACATTTGGACACACCAGAGTCCCTGCTCAAGGGTGTAAATAATCCGTGACCCCAAGGAGCCCACACTTTGTGCACAAGCGTTTCCCGAGAGCCTACTCCATGCCTAGCACTGTGCTTATACCTTTGAAGAAGACACCCAAGATACTGAGTTTTGAGTTTAGTTGGATCCAGTGAAAACAGTGATTACAGGATAGAGTGGGTCCAAAGAAGTTATTATGAGAGAAAGAGAAAGAAGACCAGGGACCAGAGACCAGCCAAATGACACTTTGAGAGGAAATAAATACTGAAAAACTAGGTGGAGCTATGAAGATGGTGGGAGGAGAGGAAACGTCATCATCCCAAAGCATTTACTAAGCACCAAACTGGAAATCCCTTGCCATTTGTAAAATGTGCTTTTCAAAATGAGGGTTTTGGGGGACTTTTTTTTTCTTTTTTTTTTTTTTGAGACAGGGTCTTGCTCTGTCACACTGGGTAGAGAGCAGTGGCATCATCATAGGTCATTGAGTCACAGCAACCTCAAATTCCTGGGCTCAAGCGATCCTCCTGTGTCAGCCTCCCAAGTAGCTGGGACTACAGGTGCATGCCACCATGCCTGGCTAATTTTTTCTATTTTTGGTAGAGATGGGTTCTCGCTCTTACTCAGGCTAATCTAGAACTCCTGAGCTCAAGCAATCCTCCCACCTTGGCCTCTCAGAATCTTCGTATTACAGACATGAGCCACCAGTGCCCAGCCTCAAAATGAGTTTTGTAAGCAAAGACTCCATTTCCCAGGTTCTGACAGTGCAGACACGTTGACTCAATTCTCCCAAGGAAGATGCAAGTGGAAGTACTGTGTACAACTTCTATGTTTCTTTAAAGGTAGGAAGAGAATCCTTGCACGTTCCTCCTTCCTGCTGCCTGAAATGTGGATGCATTTGTTGGAGCCCCCGCAGTCTTGGGTCACGAGGTGCCTTGAGAGGAAAAGGCGTGCAGCGGAGGAACAAGCTCAAAAGATCCAGGGTCCCTCGTGCTCATGGAGCCACCTTATCAGCCCCACACTGCCCACCTGCTCCTCCTGCCCTCTGATTTCTTTTACATGAAAGAAAAATAACTTTTATCCTAATCTATTTATATCTGATGATCTTAGGCAAATCACTTAGCTTCTGTATGCCCCAGTTTCTTCATTTGTAAAATGAGATAATAGTATCTATTTTATAGATTGTTGAGAATTGGCTATTATTACATCTTATTTAAGCTGCTATTTTTT